AGGCAGAAAGTATTAAAAGAGGTGAAAATCACTCCAAGTCTGGGCGTGTTGAGAGCTGTACATACACACAAGGGGAGTTAGTCGGTTCCATAAGAGCCAGCATGCGGGACCGGGACTCTGGGATTTGTAGTCTTTCTAGTTGCGTATTTTTCATAGTCTTATATTTCAACAGTTTTACGACAAAATTTGATTTTTTTTTACATGGAAATTCATGTGTAATTCGTGGCACAATTCAAACGGGATCGAAAGATTATCTTTCTCTCCCCATTGACTCCAATACATAATTTTTCAGAAATAAGGTCCCATGGGTCGGAAGTAGATGGGCAGAGTAGAATATTCTTCTAGTTGAACTTAAAACCTGTACTGACTTTAACTCTTTCTCTTATAGTGCAAAACAATTGATATTAAGCAACCAGTCATGTATTATTGTATTGACCTGTACTTAAATCATGTTTTATAATTGTTTGTGTGATAGAGATTATGCAATGTTTGTAGTGTTTGTTGATTGTTATGTACCTACCTAAGGACTGCAGATGGAAATGAGCTAATTCATCTCTTCTCTTTTCTGAGATTAATGTATTTGTATGCATGGTCCTTGTTGAAATGAATACATAATAATCATAAGCATTAGTTATAAAGAAAGGATGAAAGGATTTAAAGCTACATATACTAAAACCTTCTCTGCCGTGTTGCAGGTTCATCGCTGTAGTCATCCCTCTGAACTACAACAGGAAGCACGTGGACATGCGTCAGACGGTGCTGCTGTCGGCCACCTGGGTCGTGGCGCTGGCCGTGGCGTCGCCCGTCGTGTTCGGCATCAACAACGTGCCGGGCCGCGACCCCACCGAGTGCAAACTGGAGAACGACGACTACGTGCTGTACTCGTCCGTGTGCTCCTTCTTCATCCCGTGTCCCATCATGCTGCTGCTGTACTGCGGCATGTTTCGAGGCCTGAGGCGATGGGAAGAAGCTCGGAGAGCCAAACTCAAGAACAGTATTCTGGACTGCCGGAAGCTTCAAGAAGCGGCCGCCGCGCTGCCGGCGCTCGCCGCTCTGCCGCCATTACTGCCGCCCGTCATCAGAGGTGGGAAGTAGTGGAGAACAAATACTTCGTTACTACTTAAAGGTCGCCTATTATGCAAAATGCACTTTAAACACGAGTATCTGTACTTCTACTTGAGTAAAGGATGTGTTTACTCTTGCCTCCTTATAGAGAGGGAGCTGATGGAGAGTCCGGAGCAGCCGTCCACCTTCAAGTCCTCCGAAAAGCCCTTCAAGTCCTCGGAGTTAAAGGGCGGCCCCGTGCCCACCGTCAGCTTCTCAGAGATCAAGTACAACCAGGAGCCTCGCCGGAGAAAAACGGCTAAGATCAACAACCGGGAGAGGAAGGCCATGAAGGTGCTTCCTGTCGTTGTAGGTAAGGTTCACTTCCTGTCTAACGAGTTACTACTATCATATGTATCAGTATGTACTATCATATGTATATACAGTATGTACTATCATATGTACATACAGTATGTACTATTATATGTATATACAGTATGTAATATCATATGTATAAACAGTATATTATGAGCCTATATTCCTGCTACTGCAGTTTTT